AAATGAAACTTTTTTCGTGCAACACATTTTCTCATTCGCGGCTAAAACGATTTTGAATATTTATCCGGTACTCCGTCTGCTGTTTTATTCAACGGACGTCGCTGTACATTATTTATATTTCTGTTCGGTACGAAAAGTATTATTTCCATTTTTTCACGTTTCTTTTTTGCTGTGAGTATACACGATAATGAGATATAATGTGTTTATAAATTTTGATACTGAACTATTATTTATAACGTATTTTATGGATCAATAAATTTGGTAAGTAATATCTATTTAATTCTAACTAGGATTTTTTTACATTGTTAATAACATTTGTTCTGATTTGGATACACAATACAAGGTGTTCTAGAGGCCATAATAAGACGAAAATCAATAATATCACTTTCTTGATTGAGGCTTCGTTAACAAGTTATTAACGTTTAAAAATTAAAATAGAAAATTTCAAATTGTTCACGGAAAAAATTACTTTCGGTTGCAGGGGTCAATTACAATCATTTTTGGTGGATAGACATACCCCCGAAATCTTACGCAATTACGAGGAAAAAATTCATTACTGAAAATACAATGTCTGACCATGAATGATGATTCCCCTGAAATTCAACGAAATTGAAAAGTTTCAAATTGTTCTAAAAAAATTATTTTTGATTGCAGGGGTCAATTACAATCTTTTTTGGTCAATACACACACCCTCGAAATCCTAAGCAGTTTCGAGACAAAAATTCAGAAGGGTGAATAAATTTTTCAACAAAATTAAAAAATTTCAAATACTTTTGGAAAAATTATTTTCGGTTGCGGGGGTCAATTACAATCATTTTTGGTAAATAGATCTGCCCTCGAAATCCTACACATCTTCTAAAAAAAATTCCTTTCCGAAAATATTGTATTATGTCTGACCATACCGTGATATGTTTCCCTGAAATTTCATGTGAATCTTTAAAATGTCATAACTTCCGAACGGATTGGAGGATTTTAATGTTCCAAAATGCAAACTACGCGTATTTTAGTCGAGAATATGTAGAAATTTCAAGAATATTCGAAAAGTCGTTCTTCAACCCCGTAAAGTGAGAAAAACCCCATAAAGATAGTCCAATTTTCAAACAGCCATAATTCCTACGATAGTGAATATATTTAAATAAAACTTTTTTCTGATGTAGAGCTCATGGAGTCCTACAAAAAAGTATTAGACAACTTTTCTATATGGTGTCAGACAAAGTTACTAAAAATGGAAAACGAATTTTTAAGAAAAATCGACGGCTGAAATTTTTCAGCGAAAAACAAATATTTCAAATCGTTCTAAAAAAATTATTTTCAGTTGTGGAGGTGAATTACAATCATTTTTGGTGAATACACATATCCCCGAAATCCTGCACACTTTCGAGAAAAAAATTCGTGTAGGTGGACAAATTTTTCGACAAAATTAAAAATTTCAAATCCTTCTGGAAAAATTATTTTTAGTTACAGTGGTCAATTGCAATCATTTTTCATGAATAGACACACTCCCGAAATCCTACTCACTTTCGAGAAAAAAATTCATTTAGATGGACAAATTGTATTAATAATTTTTAACAATAATTTTGTTAATAATTTTCGTTTCATTTTGGCCTCTAGAATCTCCCATTAAAATTTTTCCCATGGATGACCGAACACCCAGTATATCATCATCTTATTACATCTATTTTTACTATAATTTTCTTTTTCTTTGTACACTATCCTTTTTGCTAATTTCCTTTAGTTTATTTCATTTTCTGCAGTATCAAGTAACAACCCTTTATGTTTACAGTAAATAACAAATAAAAACAGAAGGGTTTAGTCATTATCATAATTAGAAAATCCAAGAATTAACATAATAGAGTGAGTATGAAAGTTCAAATACGTTCAATGGATAAAAGAAATAAACTGTGAATAACAATATCATACTCTCTCAAATTACATGTACACAGTTACTTACTTTCTCATTCTGGAAACTTTTTATTTATTCAATGTACTTATTTAAACTTTAATACTCTGCTAAATGATGCTAATTCTTAGATTTCCTCGTTATCCTTGTTTTTCCCCGACTGTACTCCCTAATGATCCAAACGACGACGTCGTAATTCCAATGTGTGTTGTTTGATACAACCAAAAAGTACTTATTAACCTTTCTTAAAATACTTATCAGCTTAAAAATTGGAAAGAATGAAAGAATTTAATTTTCTGAGCTTTATATTACAGCATCAACTAACAAAACTTCAAGGAACTTTCCTCTATTTGGTCAGTGAGAACTCAATTGCATCTTAAATTTGTTTATTCGATGAACGTTCTAACAACTTCTAAGCTTCGATCGTTATTTTTGGTTCTGTTCAAGCAAACAGACTCGAAAGACTAAACCAGTAATTACGACGAGCATACAAAAATGAACACTGCAACTTCTAGAAGAATAAAGTCGGATAAATGGGAACTAATCAAACGTGTGTTTCGTCCGAAACGGTTGGAAACGTAATTGCATGCATGAATTCATTTGAAATTTGAATTTCAAACAAATTCAAAGAGTAATTGGGCATTCGTCGGAGAAATACAGAAAACTCCATTAAACGGATGTTGAAAATATTGTCCGCCGTTCGAAGTCGTTTTTTCAGCGAAACAAAGCCCCGTATGAAACAATTTTGTTATACATTTTTTCGTACAGAAACGATCTTGTTGTCACTCGTGGCGATGGTCACCTGAAATCCTGTACGCAAACGATCGAAAATATCGTAGTTCTGGACGACAATTTCCTCGATCGACCGTCTGTTCCTTGTTGTCTGTCTGAACAACGCGAGGATACGAATCTCTGATCGAACGTCCGCGAAAATTGATCATCGTGACACGGAGTGACAGAACCACGAATCATCGATGTCTGCGACACATTTCATTTGACGCGATATCGGCCATCAAAGTGGAACACTTACATCCACCACAACGTGAACACTGTTTTCGTACGTTTCCTCGACCGCGAAACGCGCTAAATTTAATATTTTCTACCGCTGTTGGTGCAAAGTTTAAAGGTCGTGAAAAATAAAAACAGTTTTACAGATCACTTTCGGGAAATTGTGGCCAAAAAATATGGCGACCGCTGTAGAACGAGTCGAGGTTGGACTCGGTTATAACGAGCACGCGAGATCACGACTGGAATGAGGAAAAAGAAATAATGACCATCATTTTTTAGCAGCTTAATAGTTCATTTTTTTAACGAGTGTACTGTATAAAAAATTTCTGAGAAACATGGCAAATATTGATGTGTAAATTTGATTGTGTATATTATCAATTATTTATTAATTTCAAATGCGGGGTTTAAAAATTTTGTAGTTTTTACGAGAATATTAATGCAAGTGATATTTACTTAGAAAGTTATCATTTTCTTTTCTCAGGACAAAAATATGATTTTCGTACACAAACACGTTCTTTAATGTTACGAGTTGTACTATATTCAACGCACAGGGAATAAATTATCGAAAGACCACTTCATAAATATTTTTGAAAACATCAATTTTTTTCATATATATAATAAACACCGATGCAATTAATTAAAAGAATACACTGAGAAGAATTTTTTAAAAATTCGTTATTATTTATAGCGCAGAGGAAAACAATCTTTTTTCAAAAAACATAAACGCTTTATTTGTGATACAAAAAACGTTCAACAAATATTTTCCTGGTATATAGAAAGAAAATAAACTTCTCTATCGATACAGGTTACCTTGGTTAGTTTTTTCTGAATTTCATTTCGAATTTGCAATTTGCAATTTCACATATTAAAAAAAAATTAAGAAAAGTATGTCAAATTTGTTAATAATACTGTTAATAATACTTGTTGATAATACTGTTTCACGATGTACTTTTAAATGAAGCAACTAACGCGATATTCAACAAATTGGATATCGATCAGTCGCTATTACCAAAGTAGACTTCTTACAGCACAAAAGAAAATTTAAAATGTACACGAGGTTGCTACATTTTGAGTCGTATTCTTTCTTTAAACCGATGCATTAGCTGATTGGTTCCACCAACGCAGTGAAAAAATTGATTTTATTTCAATTTAAGAAGACAGTGTGATATAGAATTTTTTGAAAATTGATCTACCTACTTCTACGAGAAGTAAAGAAATTAATCAAAAACACGTATATTTTCCTAAAACTTTATCATATGCACTGAGGTTATTGTTATATATTGGAAACTTTTATAATTATTATCTCCAAAATTTATAACTTTATAACTTTAAAAATCTTGGTTATTTAATTGGTCATTTGTGAAATTAATTAAAAACACGTATATTTTCCTAAAACTTTATCATATGCACTAAGATCATTTTCATATATTGGAAACTTTTATAATTATTTTTATCCTCAAAATTTGTAACTTTATAACTTTAAAAATCTTGGTTATTTTATTGGCCATTTGCGAACAATCTTTAATAAAATTTGAAATCGTTACGCCAAAAATTAGTTGTTTTCTAGTCAGAAATTTGCTTTATGCTTGCTATAAATGATAAATCTTTCGTTTTGCAGATACTGTTTCAAAGCGTATGGAATTCAGCGCGCTACGTTTAGCGCTCGACGAACGAAAGGCTCGGAAAGAGCTCACCGTTTGATTGGCAGAGGCTTACGTCGACGCTGGGCATCAATTTTTATCGTCGGGATCCGCTATCAATCGCCAACGAAACGCACGAGTGGCAAGCTCGTGACGGACCAGTCGTCTCCGTTCGAAATTTGTGAAACGATTGTCCGTATCGTCGACCGAGGTTTTTGTCACGCTGTCCAAAGTGCGCTGACCCACGGGGGTAACAGAGGTAACAGGACGCAATAAAGATTGTCCCCCACTTAAAATAACATACTTAATAAACAAGACAGCGATCGCAAAGCCCGCGTGCGCGTCGGTGAAACAATAAATCGTCGATGTTCGCGAAATCTCGATCAACGATGAAAGAACCTGTTCTAAAACTCCGTCCAAGGTCCTTCCAGCTTTTCGGTATACCTACTCACCGTTCCCGTCGCTGGACGTTGTACGTGTTCTGTCGGACGGCACGAGCCCCGCGGAGATTCGCCAAGATCTCCGGAGTGGACGACGGAACAGTTTCGTGCCCGTTGCACGATAAAACGTCGCGGTCTAACGTACGCGGGCGAACGAGCGCGCCTAAGAGTCGCAATGGAATACCCACTTGTAGAGCCGGCGGATGACCGGGCGCGTAAACTAGACTGGCGGGTTGGCAAACAGGTGAGATGCCGTCGCGTGCCAGTCTATCTCTGTCGCCCTACCCCCAGTCTTTCTCTATCCCACCCCGTCACCCTACTCCAATAACCCGGCTGGTCCTTTCTCCGTCTCCCTCTCTCGGCCCGCTTCTCCCACTCCAACCATACGGACTCCCAACCCCCTCTGACGCGCGACAGCCCCCAGATTCTAGTCCTCACGGCGTCGTATTTACGCCGTACGATCTCTTTCCTCCCTGAGAACCTCCGCCGCGCTGATCGAGCCTCGACTCGTCCTCATCCGCGTACGCCGCCAGGCCGATCTTATTTCGCGTGGATGCTTCCTCCGCGTTGTTGGTCCCTCGACTCTGGTTACCCCGTTCCGCGTTCCATTCCATTCGCCTCCGTACGCGATCCCGCTTTCTCCCAATTCCACTTTTCGGCTCCTCTCCCTGACGTTCCTCGTTCCTCCTTTCTCTCCGTCGTCCTCTCTCTCCCACCCTTCGACACCGTTCCCCTCAGTCTCCCCGACAGCCCTACCCAGGAGCACGGGGGCTATCCCTACCCCCTGCAGGGGTTAGAACCGGAGGCACTTGCGTGCGCAGCACGTCCATCGATCTATTTCAGCTCACCTACGCTCCTGGCACGCCTGGCCTGTACCTGCCGCTACCTTGCCTGCGCGTTTGCGGGTGCGTTCATACCGGGGCCAAGGTGTGGACGAAGGGCCGGACGATGTTTTATTGTGATTTGGAACGTGATCACCCGCGGGGACCACCTTAACTGCGTACGAGTGTCGTAATAAGGAAGGATTCTGGCGGATCCCAACGGGTGAACGACATCGATCGTACCCCGCGCGAAATAGAACCTGAATTTCGATTTTTTTTAGCTCGATTTTAGGATAGCAGGATCAGTTGCCCTAATATGGAACGCGTTACTAATTTGGAACACCGTGACATTAACACAATGACTGACCAAAACTGTACACTTCTTTACGGGACCAAAACTTTGATTTCAGACAATTGTAAACTACATAACTTAAAATTTGTCTTACCATTTACTTTCGTAACCTTACGAAAATTCATGAATCCTATTCAAATTTCAATTTTAACGTTTCATCCTGAGAATTAATTGTTCTAGTTCCTTAGTAAAAATCCTATCACCCATGGATGACGTGGCAGCCAATGTGTTAAAGCAATTATCGCAGTATTGCTATTGGAGATGAATGCAATCGATTATTGTCATTTGTTGCAACTAGTGTGCATAGTAGGGTGGTCCTTAGCAACAGGGGTCAACATTTTTTTTTTAGTCTTTTTTCTACGCACCCCCCATAGATTGTGACACTTGATGGAGAAATCATTTATGCTAAATTGTAGCGTGATTGGATAATTAGAATACGTGCTACATTTGAATTGATGTTTTGAAATTATAATTTATAATTTTTTGGTGAAATTATAATTCCTTTAGTGTAAAATAATAATATTATGTGTGATCTCAAATACTATCCCTAGTAGCACAAAATATTGTATGCACATTCATATAATATTAAAAAAATTTTTTACAATATTTTTTAAAAATTATCACAAATATACACACAATATTTATTTTCTATTAACAAATATTTTTTTTTTAAATATGCAGGAAATATCTATTTCATGTTACGAGAAAAATAGTAAAAAAGTGCAAACAGATGAATTTTATATTTTTTATGGCGAATTTCACTGTGCAGACGAATTCGTAAAAACTAAACATGCATTCGTTTTAAATTGTATATTGAAAAATGATCTCGAGGAAGTTCTGGTACAAAACTACCAGAGAACTTCAAGAATCCTAATTGTAAATAACGCTACATTAATTTGGAATATTGTAAAATAACAAAGTCATTGAATATTTCTATGTTTCATGCTATAATTTAAACAAACGTTGAAATCTGGTGAAAAAAAAATTTGCTTTCGTCTATTATTTTTTTCCAAAAATGACACTGGCGTATATGTCTACTTTTTACCGAAAGCTAAACGTTTTTTTCTATTTTTCTTATTGATGTTCGATTTGTACCTCTTCGACCTAAATTCGTGTAGACTTCGTCTCATTGTCTTTGTTGATCAATAATATAAGATTGAAAGTCTAATGTTAGAAAATTGTGTACGAATGTTATAAATATAAAACTTTTCCAACGACGTATTTCCACAACTTAATCATCCACACCGTAACACCATTTTCCATAAGATCTGTGCGGGGTCCTTTAATGAAATTTAGACTCCGTTCGTTGCACGATTGTTACAATAATGTAATGATTTATCTCCTTTCGCCAGAATTTTATGTTTCGAATATCCAATCCTCAGGTTTCTCTGGAGAGTATGCTAAAATGCAACGAGGCGTTACATGCGATCGTTGTTCCGCGTCACTGCCCAATAATCGTGCTCCTTGGTTTTCGGTGTCCAAAAATGTCGGATAATTTTTAGACTTTGTTCGTATGCCCTGTTGGTTAGGTTCTGAAAGATTAATAAGAATTAATAAGAATAGCACATTTGATAAGGAATTGAAAGAAATATTTTCATTTTTATATAATTGAATTGCATTTAATAGAAAATTAAAGTTGTTCGGGAAAATTGACGAGATCCAATGTCCACTTTGCGAAAACATTTTCGAATTAGTAAATTTAACACGTCCACTGTCAGATCAAAACCGTGTAATATTTGTACAAGTAAAATTTTGATTTTAAACCATTGTAGGCTACATAACCTAAAATTTGTTACAGTACTTATTTACGTAACCTTGTTAAAATTCACAAGTTCTATTCAAATTTATTTCCCTCGACGTCTTAACTTGAAAATTAATTTCTCTAGTATTATAATGGTAAATCCTATCACCCATATATGGCTGACGTGGCAGTCAAAGTGTTAAAGGCTGCTGAACCTTGCCTTTTACACCACTCTCTTGTATATATTCTATTTCTATATGATATAACAAACACATTATTAATATCACTGTTTATTGATAGGTACCAATATTTTTAATCTACACGTGTTCATTCAGATTGCAAAAAATAGTATACGTAAAGGAAAGGAGGGGCCAGCAGAGGGGTCGGTCGAGTGCTTGTGAGAGCGCGAGCCCTCTGGTGGCGAGCATGGGAGGCGACGCCACAGAACTTTTCATCATAATGAATATCAATAAAAAAATTCAGTTAATTCAACCGTGGGTCATTTTCCATAAGATCTGTACGGGGTCCTCTCACTTAGGCGCTTGTTTTAAATAATACGTTATTATTATTAATATGCGTTGTATACGATCTTAATTAATTCGAAATTGAACTTAAGAGAGGAAACGTTAAATTGGATTCATATTCGACGATAAGATTTGGAATGTAATATCTCTGTATCGAGGTTGGAATATTAAACGCAATATGTTCATAGAAATGCTTGAAAATATAAATTGCTGACATCGAAGCTTACGAAACGGGAACGTGATCGTTTATTAAAGCGCCCGGAGCCGGTCGAGGTATTTTCCAGCTAAACTGTAGGTAAAACCTGATGTAATTAGGATCACATTCAGCCTCCCTGAAGGTATCGAATCGCAACCGATTTCCCATCGTCGAGACAGCATCCGCATCGATGAATCGTCTGCATCATCCGCGACGTTATATCGCATTCGTTTCATCGTTTCTGACGCGCTCTATGCGCCGTGCACAATCAGAGCTTTTGTTCGACACATTTAGTGTTTATGGATTAACCATTCCTGATTGTTTACAAGTCATTGTCTTATTTAACGCGTGCAGGTACTGGTAACGAAAAAACGTACGAAGAGAAAATTAAAGCGAGCAATTTAATATTTGCATTACAACAATAACTACAAATTTGTGAAACACTTGTTCGAATTTTCAGGATAATATTCCTATAAACAGTCGAGAAAACACTTTCGAGCTAATTCAGTTATGAAACTAGAGATTGTACATTAGTAAAAAGTTATTAATCTTAAAAAACGAATATTCTAATTTCAACGAAAGACAGTACTAATAATATTTGAATTTGAACAGATGAATTCGGAGTCTCCGTGCACACATTTCACAACCGAAGGCCAAACTGCAGTTTTTCACCATGGTAAATGAATTTTTTCAATTGTATATGAAACAGAGAAGGATCGAATTGAACTTTTTTGTAGGAAATGTTAATCTACCAGTTCGTATACATTGTACGCAAATTTGATAACGTTCCTCAGTCGGTGAAAAGAAAAAATTTGCAAATAGAAAGTCGATATCCAACGAAAGGGTGTTTTACGTTTAATTAAAATTTAAATTTTTTTAAATTGAATACCTCGAAGGAAATATAGTAAAAGCACTGCTTGTTTTAATTTTAGCTTTGATAGAGAGACTCTGGAGAACCTGGCGTTTTTTTAACGGGAATAAAAATATTCGAAATAAAAATTCGAGAACAGAAAAAAATGGAGGACACGTATCTATACTTTCTTTCCAGGCCTCTTAAACAACATTGACTACTATAGAACCGATTACGTTACCTTGCAATTCATGGCACCGTTCCACCAGGAACTTATTGTCAATCTTTTCAACACCGTTAGAATAGACAGAATCCATACTATTTTCTAAAGTTATTTGTTCCATTTCTCACCGCTAACACCGCATCGATCTTATTCGACCCCGAATCGATAACGTTTGACGCGTGAGAGAAATTATAAGGAAGCTCCAAAGCCCTCCGAGTTGTAATACAAAAATCCATTGATCCACTAACTGTCCCCTTCATACAATACCTCGTCTATAATAGCGTGACCAAGACGAATAGCTTCGAGGCCTATGATTCCTATTTTCTTGTCAATCATAAGCCGTAAGAGGGGAGATCAACAAATTTCCGGATTGGCTCTATAAAAAAATGATAGACCGATCGAAAGATTTAGTGCCCCTTATGTGTCATATTTAAACTTTATCATCGATCTAGAGAATATGGAGAACATTAGTGTGTTCTTCATTTGGCC